GGCTGTATTGAGAGAAGATCACCTTAATGGGTGACATAGTTTACAGCTGAAGATCATCTGCTTGGTAAAATGGGTTTATTCCTCGTTCCTCATTAATCCCCATAACAAAGCTCTACCCAGCAGGATGAGCTGTGGTGGGAGCAATCCAGGGGATCCACTGTTGACCTCTGCTTTCTCCAGAGTCAGATTCTGTGCTTTCCATTGCCAGCTTCCTCTGAGTAAGGCTTGTTCTTTCTGAGGGAATGCCTCATGATAGGTTGTTAAGCATCTGCACAGGGATCTGGTGTTTGCTTCTACCAGGGCCCAGGGCTCTCAGTGTTCTCAAACCAGTTTCTATGTCAAAATAGCTAAAGTTCTCCCACCACACAGGTGGCATTACTACAGATATCACAGCATTCAAATGCTTGGCCCTGTATTTCCAGCTCCAGTTCCAGACCCACTGTGGAGTGGGATATCTTCTAGAGCCAACAGCAGATCTGAAACACTGTCAGGCCAGTGACATCTCTGTCTTCTGATTCTTGGGAATTCCCTTTCCTTCTTTTAGCTCATAGAGACCTGAAAATATCTTTTTTTTTCTTTTTCCTTATTTATTTATTTATTTTTTTTGGTAGCATAAGCTATATTGTTGTGACTCATCTCTAACTCTTCCTCAGTGCAGAGTGACATCTGGTTATAAAAAAAAGGACTTGATAGTGGTCTAGGCCTTAAGAAATGCACTCTCAGAAAGTATGATAGCAACCACCCAGGCTGCTGCTCCAGGAAGAAGGCTGTCTTCCTGCCCAAGGCTGCACTTTCTCACAGGACAAGGTCTGTCCTCAGTTCTGTGGAAAGGAATCTGCCTTATGTTCATTTTTTCATAAAATATAATTGAATGGCTGCATGCTGATTTCATAGGGTAAGTGAGGCAAAGACGGCATGAAATGAAACAAAGATACAACCACCTCACCATGTCACAGCCAGGGTCTGTAGGGAGTGGCTGAAATCTCCAACAGCAGCCAAGAGACAAGCCACAGAAAACGGCTGGCCAGCAGCGTCTGACCTGAAGGCCGGGTCCCTTGGGCCTCCTCTGATCTCATTATAGCAGTCGACACTAGTCCTCACAAAACAAACAGAGGAAATTTATGCCTGCCCTAGCTGTGGAAAACTCTACATTCCTTCTTAACGAGAGTTCCAGCTTCTGAGACCACAGCCACCCTGCGATGGGGAGGATGTCGGCTTTGTGCCCAAGAAAGCACTGTCACTGCCACCTCCTTTCCCTCTTTCTAGGGTTGCACACAAAGGTGCTGAGCTTGGGGCCTGGGCTCTCTGGGCTGGTCCCTAATGAGAAGTTCCCTTGCTGCTAATGTCAACATCCCAAGGGTTAGACAGTCCAGCTATTTCCTCTTGAGTAGCTCTGGGAAAGGCTCTACAAGTCAGCCTTGAAGGATTCCACCTGCTAAGGTCAGAATTCTAAGAAAGTTGTTTTTTTTTTTTTTTTAAACAAAAACAGAACTCCAGGTCTTCTGGTAGGGAAAGTGTCTCCCTTAAATACTCTTGCCTGCATTTTAGAAAACTTCACCCAAGTTGGGATTCCTATGTAAAATGACAGAATAGAAGGATGGATGTCTACCTGTGAGCTACAAGCTCAGTGGTAAAGCATCGGCTCAGCATAATCCACAAGCTCCAGGCCCTGCTTTCAAACCCCAACACCATACAAAGGCAGAAGGCAAAACATCACTTTATATCCTTTAATTCAATCTCAGAAGTAACTGAATGCTCAGCTCACTCGGTAAAGAGTGAACTGCTAAACCAAAATAAGAATGTAGAGCAGTTCTAAGTCAGGGTGATTTTTGTCACCCGGGGGACATTTGGCAATATAAAGACACATTTTTGATTGTTACTGCTGGGGGAGGTTGATACTGGCATCTAGTGGGCAGAGGCCCCCCAAAGAAGAATTATCAATGTCAATAGTGCTGAGACAAGAAGCCTTGCTGGAAAGGGAACACTCAAGGATATGGGTAGATTTAAAACAAAGATGACTCACAATTAACTTTACACTTATGTTGATACCATGCAGTCTGGTGATAACAAAATGCAGACAATTAATAACCACAAATTTTACCAGTTCTCTCCTCCTGAAAAATAAATAAAAGCTTCCTTAACTACTCAGAGTAAGAGCATTAGTCGCCTGGGAAAAAGTGGTATGACTGCAGTGTTAGATTATATTATCAGCAACATCAAGAGAGTGCTGTGTTTGTTTCAGGTCAAGGTGTGATCTGAATGCCTACTATCAACATTCAGTGATGACTACTGGCAGAAGGAATTTATGAGCTAAGCTCTATGATTTCTGAAACCATACAGGTAACCTAAGTATATCTAGTTCTGGAAAAAAGTGATAAAATGTCTCAATATTTAAAATACTAACAAAAGTATTTTATTTTATTTATTTTTTTAAGAGAGAGAGAGAATTTTAATATTTATTTATTTTTTTAGTTTTTCGGCGGACACAACATCTTTGTTGTATGTGGTGCTGAGGATTGAACTTCGGCCGCACGCATGCCAGGGGAGAGCGCAACGGCTTGAGCCACATCCCCAGCCCCCTAACAAAAGTATTTTAAATGGAACCTTGTTGATGTTAACCTACATTCTAGGGTGAAAAAAAAAAAAAAAAAAAAAAAAAAAAAAAAAAAAAAAAAAAAGCAGAGTAGGGTTCAAAATAAATTCAGAAATGAAGAATTGCAGAAATGCATCATAATGAAAATGATCATGGTGCAGCAGGAAAAGGGAGGTACTGGGGGACAAAATTGACTAAATTTTATTGTAATATTGTGTGCATGTGCAAATATGTAACAACATATTCCAATATTATGAATAATTATAATGTGCTAATAAAAAAAGAAATAAACATGGTGCATACTTTGAAATGCTTTTCCTTTCTAATTTTCTGTCCTTATTTCCATACAGTTCCCTCTACCTGGCACACTTTCATTGCATTTGATGGAAGATTGTACATTGAGGTTACTCAGTCATTATTCACTTATGAACTCTTCTATTCCAGCAAAAGAAGGGGGGCAAAAAAAATCCCATGTAAGCAAATTTGAAGAAGAAGAAAAAGAATTTCGTGAGTGAGCAGGAACTACTTTTTAATGGAATGTTTAAAGACTGTGGCATAAACAGTAAATAAAACTGATTCACTAATGTTAATACTGTTTACTGCTATGTAAGAACCAGGCTTTTTTTTTTTCTTAATGCCCCCAAAGCTAAAGGAAAATTAATATTATGGCAGGGAAAACTGATCCCTTCCTTGACATTTCAAAATCATTGCTCAATTCTTCTTGAGCAAGGAAACCATAGTAATGACTCTATTTTACCTACCGCAATTATGGTACACCTCACAGCAATTCTCCTTACAATATCCCCTTTCCTCCTTCCACTCAAGTCCTGCTAAATAATCTCTGGAAACCATTAACCAAGAGTCCTGTTCCAATTTTCCTCTTCTCCCCCCTGCTTCCTCAGTCATGCTGGCGTCAGGACAAAGCAAACTTGTATTACATCACAGCGCAAACTCATTTTCTCTAAACCAGCTCATTGGTAGTTTACTGCTACTGGAACCCAATGCTGTCAACAGTGTGGTCTTTGTTTGGTGGGTGTTTCTTTAGAAAAAAAAAAWTTTTTTTTTTTAAGTTTCCTGTACCTCTTTCCTCTTTTAAATAGAGGCAAGCTGTTGGAGGCGCCTCTCTAGCCTGGCTCCACCCTGCTCAGTAAACTAGACATTACCTTATACACAAATGACTCTAAGGCATTCCTCAGTCTAGCTGCCCGCTGCAAAATTCCTGTGCTCCCCAGCAGCCAGGCAGCACACACTACCCTGGCTTCCTCTCCTCTTTCCTCTTGCTCACCCTCCTTTTTTTTTCTTTCTTTCTTTTCTTTCTTTCTTTCTGTCTTTTTTTTTTTTTTTTTTAATTTCCACTGCCTCACTGTGTTTTTGTGTAAATGATCTCACATGACTCAACAAATCCATCTGCCTGAAGCAGGCCAAGTCTGGAGCCCTCCCAGGAGGGAGGAGAAGAATTGCTTTGTGGAAAGGACCTGGAGCTCTGCCCTTTCTCTGGCTCGAATTACCCGCCTGTCAGGCCTGACGGATTTGGCTAAAAATAAAAGGAAGCGGGCCGTGAAAAGCAGATGAATGGGCTCAGCAGTTCCTTAGATAACACAGGCCTGCTGTTGCCCAGAGCTCCCCAAACAGAAACTTCGCATGCGGGTCTTTTCAGTGCAGAGATGTGGCTTCCAGGTGAAGGGGACAGTTAGATCCATTGGCATGGGGGACATATCAGTTTTTGCACATGGTGAATATCAGTTTTTGCACTCCTGTGTGTGTGTCTGTATGTGTGTGGTGTGGCGTGTTTGTGTGTGTGTGTGTGTAAGAGGAAGAGAGAGATACACACACACAAAGATGGGAAGGGGGGGCAGGGGGGGTAGCCTAGTATAAAAAGTTACTCAGAAAACAGTAGAGTTCAGTGGAGCGAAGGGTTGGCTTGTAAAACGGGAAAAAAATGCGTTTCCACTACAAAATTACCCTTTTCCCCTACCTCCAACACCAGACATTTTTCAGCCTCCCTATGATGTCACTTCTCCATTCAGAGCCAGCAAAGAGCTAAAAGTCCTTCTTGTAAGTGTATGCCCAGCGCCCGCAGTGGGTATTAAGCACTTAGGTTGGCAATGTAATGACACACTGTAACAATCTGTAATATGAAGCAGTCAGCAAAGCCCTGGCTCTGAAAGCTATTTCTCCCAACCATTAACCATATGTTTGGCTCCTCAGATAGCCAAGCGGGTGTTCCAGCTCACCATCTGGTTTCTATCCACACAAGCAACTAAAGCACAGGCTATGTCCCTCTGGAGCTGCGTGTTTCTTTCTCTCTCTCTTTTCCGCTCTTCCCTTCCCCTTTCCTCCTCCCAGCTCCTTTGGTTCCCTCACTAAAGAATTCTCTGCCATTCATCACGTGCAAAGAAAACTTTACCTGACATGGCAGCAGCAGAGCCATTAAGAATGCACAGCTGTATTGTAAACACGCCAGAGGGCCATTTACCATCSGCGGAATCTGTACAAGTCAGTCTCTGCCCCCTTCCTCATCTCCTCTGAGTGCTGACACTTGATCCAGCATGTTAAAAATAGGTGCATTCTTGACAGATCCAGGGGTTGCTGTGGTGCCCTTCATAGTCACTTCATATTCTGAGAGTGGGGCTTTAAACACACACACACACACACACCCTGAGTTTGCCTCTGCATTCAATCTGCCTGACGTCAATCTCACACAGGATGACATTCCCCTTACTGCAAATAACCAAGCCAACTACAAGATTCAATTCCCTTTTCTGCCCTAAAATACTAGATCCCTGGTGTGTGTTTTTTTCTTAGTTTTTTTCCCYCTTGAAGAGCCCAAATTGAGACATGACACTTTAGAAAAATACAAGCATTCAGTCATTTTCAACAAATTCATAACTTGCAAAACTCATGCTTTCTTCTGTCTGCATTTTTAATAGTAATGACACAGGATCTGCTATCAGAATTTATGATTTCCCCATAATGTTTTCAAAGTAGTTTTCCTCGAGTTTTCTCCTTTGCAGGATTTAAGGTACTTTATAACCTTTTAAAAGTATATAAAGAGATTGCAATACACAGAAATTAGGTCCTTTTTTCCCCCTTATCCCCATAAAAACAATGTCTGTAATACCAGCCCATTTTACTGAATTAGAAAATTAAAGTTAATTTTTTTCTCACGTCTAAAAAAAGAAAAAAAAAAGCTGGTTTCTCACATACCAAGAACAAAAGGATGAATACCATTAAAAAGTAATTAACCAAAAGGTCAGATTTTACCAACATGGCTGAGCTACAGAGGGTTGTCACAGGAGCTGTTCCTTCAGGCCAACAAGGGTGCCCAGAAGGCTCCTCGCTGCCCTACAAACTTCCCAAATCTACTACCCCTGTCAGCCTTCGTTTCCATGATCTGAAATAAGTGTTGTGTTAGCCATTTCTGCTAATAAGGGACATAAGAATTTTGCTGCATGTAGGCTTTAGAGAAGGACAGAAAAAGGAAATTTTTAAATTCAGAAGCTTTAGGAAATTGTCCACAGATGATAGGTTCTATTAATGTTTCTGTCCCTCCAAACCATCATAAACTGTAAAGATTTCGTTAGCCTTACTCCCAAAAAGATAACAGCAGATATAATTAAGTAAAAAGGAAGAAAAATGAAAAATTCCAAACTTCAACTTTTCATAGCTGCCGACCTGTCTGTTATTTTTAAGCACTGCAGACTCATTTTAATACAAGATATTTATGCTTTTCAAAAATATTGGTGCCTGGGCCTACTTCACTCATCCCATTATACTGGGTGTCTAAGCGAGTCCTAGGCATCAGTATTTCTTAAAAGCACCCTGGTTTCATGCAGCAAGTTGAGGAATCTTACTCTGTGTGAACTAGAAACCATCTCATCAAAATCAGAATGAAAATACAAACGAAATTTAGGACTATAACAGTGGCTTTCAAATATGTTTAAAAGTAGAATTATCCACCACACAAAAATCTTAYGTGAAATCCCTATAAACAAAATAGTTTAAAAAGTTGTCATTTATACTGTCATTCTATATTTTCTCTGTAWAATATCTTTAGCTTTTACCTTTCAAATTTAAATTTTAAATCATTGTAAGTCACCTGGTGAGAACAAAGAGACTATCTTATTGAACATAAAATCTGAAAGTGGAGTTACAGCTGCGAGGTCCAGTCCTGCTACCTCAGCATCTAATTTTTCCCCTGGCCAGTGGATAAAGTGATCAAGGCCTAATGCATGTAAAAACAGCAGCATGTGCAGAAGGATTAAATTAATTCATAAATTAATTTTTTTTTTCGTGCTGGGGATCGAACCCATGGCCTTGTGCATGCCAAGCACGTGCTCTACCACTGAGCTACACCCCAGCTCATAGATTAATTTAATAAAGGTCGATTAGATGTCTACTACACACTAGGCACTACCCTTGGCGGTCATCAGAGGAATAAGTTGCAAACTTTTCCCTTGGGAAGTCTAGTAAAGGGAAGAAGTGACACAAGGGCAGCAGGATAGAGGCACCAAGGATGGTCCTCTGGAGAGGGCTGGTTAATTCTGCTTGAGGAAATGAGGCATAAATTTACCAGCATGAGACAAATAAGTCAGATCATCAAAGCTGGAGCAAGATTTTTGATGGCTAATACAGAAATGGAAGGGCATTTCAGGAAGAAGGAAAAGAATGTGAAAAAAATTAAAAGCCTGAAGTATAAATAGGGCTGCTGAGTCTGAGGGTTAAAAGGAAAAAGAGGAGGACAGGAAGAGCTGTAATATAGGCCAGAAAGGTACCTGAGGCTAAGAGATTAAAAAAATTTAAATGACATGATACAGTTTAGACCAGCACGGACCAGCAGAAATACAAAATAAATCAAAGATGTAATTCCAAATTTTCTAGTAGTCATATTAATAAAAGTAAAGAAACTGGAGAAATCAATTTTAGTGATGCTTTTAATGATGCATTTTAACGTGTTATCAATATAAAAATTATTATTGAGTTTTTTTTTCATACTAAGCTTCATACTAATGTATGATTAGGTTAGAACTCTCACAACTCAATCATTTCATCTCTAAGCTTTCTTGCATTGTCCACACTTGAGCTTCTGGGGGACACCTCATATTTAAGCCATAACAGTCACGTTCAAATTTATATCATAGAGACACTGTCACATCCATGTGGAGAAACAGAGGGAGGACTGGGTTTGGAAAAAGGCTTTTGAGGGTGCTTCTACAAAGCATGAAAAGGATGAATAGAAGCACAAGGCTTGGACAGGGCAGAGGCAAGAGGAAGGCGTGGAAAAGTCAGTCTAAACACATTTCTAGAAAGAATTCTGAGAAGCTTAAGTGGTTGTCTGTGAGGGATGAAGGACAAGGAAGTACAGAACCATCAAATGTGCTTTGTTATGCTAAAATGTGTGCTGACAGTGAAAGGTCACTGATCATGTAACTAATATGAGTTTCACTGCTCCTTTTAAGCTTGCTTTCCTCTGCAGTGGAATGCAATGTCATTTAATAAACAGGTGCTGAGTTATCACCATGAGTTAGGCTGTGCCAGGCATTGAAGAAGCAAAGCTGAGTGGGACAGAATCCTTAGTTTTAAGGGGCTCAAATATAGTGTGGGAGACAAAACAATGAATTATCACAAAGTATTAGGTGCATTAATATTGACAGATGTGCAAGAAGGCTACAAAATGTTCTGTAAAGTATAATTCAGAATTATCTCATATAATGTAGTCAGTGGAACTTTTAAGATAATTTTAAGATAGTAATTTAAGATAGTTTAAGACAATAGATAGTTTCAAATAGCAAGCCCTGTTTCAATTGACTAAGTGATGCAGCATATGATTTACTTTCATGTTTGTATTGGGTTGCATTCTACTAGGAAAATCCTAATAACTGCAAGCATAACTCATTAACATAATCCTACTCTTGAAACTCAGGCAGTTTTTCAGACAGATCTCTTGCTATTTGCCATTCATACTACTTACCATCTGAAACTCAGAAACCAAATTGGCAAGAATAACATTGTATCCCTTGCTTTTGGAACTCATTATGGGAAATTGCATCTGAATTCTGGAAATGAGTAGATTTAAACAGCAAGGTATAGTTGTGTTGGAAATTATAACCGTTCTTTAGCCCTTTATTTTATAATTTTATGATCTGTCTCAGAATTATTCAAACACTTGGAAAAAAACTAGTTGATTTTGGGGGGGGTAATTTCAAATTTTAATCACTAATGATAACCTGACAATGACTTGACTTTTTAAAAAGACAATAAAGGAGTATCCAAAATGCAGTGAGTATACATGACCCTGTACTGTGTTCACATATCATACAACTGTCCATTAACCCATGCAGAAGCCCAAAGCCTTCAGAAGCTCTGAAGCCCTGCCTGGCATGTAATTGAGCATGCTGAATATGTATGACAGGAGGCTCAATTTATGATCAGACTGGAATCTAAAAATCACTTATCTCAAACTTCTTGATTCATAATCTATTTATAAGGAGGTCAAATATACACACCAAAATAGCAAAAATTCTTTATTTCAAGATTAATTGATTATCTAATTTAATGTGTTGGTGGTCTGAATGTATTAAAATTTGGTGTATAGCACATTTAAATGTGTATTTTTTTAAAAAAAATCATAGTTTAAAATTAGTTTTAAATTTTTAAAAATGAAAAACAAGTTGAATGTTTRCAGAACCTCTCAGATATCCTCAGGGTATGTCCACAGGACAAAGTTTGAAGACCACTAGCTTAGGGACTTTGAGGTTAGAATGTAAACATAAGAACAACAATTTGATACACCTAGCTCATCAAATCATTGACAAACTTAAGCCAAGAGCAGAAACCATTTTTCATTATCCTAAAAGCAGTGAAGTTGAGAAATAAAAGTAAATATGTTATGATTCACTAGTAAGATAGAATTCAAGGGGTTGGGGCTAAAATTTGGGATACATCATTCATTTCTCAGTGTTGTTCATTCATTAATTCACTTCACAATTTATTCACCTACCACTTACCAGGCACTGAGAAATGTGGCATATATCAATGAAGACAACAGACAATATCCCCACTTTTGTGGAATTTAGAATCTAGTGGGGAGAGACAGACAATAAACCCAAATAAGAGTCATAATAACTAATACATTTTTGTTACAAGATGACAGGTGCAATGAAAAACAATGGAATTAGAGGAATTGGAAGGATGGAGGAGGAGGAAGGCGTAATCTTTAATAGGAGCATAAGAGTAGGTCTCATCAAGAAGATGCACATGGAACAAGGACTTGAAGGAGGCGAGAGATAAGCCAAGAGGATATCAGAGCAAATGGTTCTCCAAATGTGGCTCCAGCACCACCTGCAAACTTGTCACTGGCTCAGAAGCACTGGTGTGGGGACCTATCAGTCTGTTTTTATAAGTTCTCCAGGTGAATTCTATGTACCCAGAGTTTGAGTACCACTCAAAGCTTGAGGTCCTTTGGGTAAAGGCCCTAAGAGAGGAACATGT